AGGACTCCTTTCCAAATCCTATACGGAACCGTTCTTTTCAGAGGAACCCACAGCCGCTCCATGTTGTCAAAAGGACTTGTTCTGACACTCTATTTGTAACGATGGTTCTCTGTTGCGCACTTCGGCTGTAGTGCACACAGGCGCCGTGGTGTACACAGGCGCTGTGGTGCACGCGCGCGCTGTGGTGAACACGGGTGCAGTGATGCACACGGCTGCTGTGGTGCACGCAGGCACTGTGGTGCACGAAGGCGCTGTGTTGCACGCGGCTGCTGCGGTGTATGTAGGCGCTGTGGTATACACAGGCGCTGTAGTGCACGCAGGCACTGTGGTGTACACAGGCGCTTTGGTGCAGATCGCCACCTACATGCTGCTGCAACCCGTCCTCGGTCATTCTGCTGCATTCGTGGACGCCGCCAGCTCGAAACCTGGCGTCATCGCCCCGCCCCCCAGGTAACGGCCGTCATCGCCCTGGATGTTGTAAAACCACCCTGTGACGCACCCAACCCGCTCGCATCAAGCGGCAAGAGGAGTCGGCCCAAACTTGCCAAGACAATGAGAGCGCAGGCGCCGTTATATGTTGTGCAAGCTACATGGGATGCGGTCACGTGGCCCGATTCACAGCACAACAACAAAAGGACGAGGAGCGAACGCCCAGGCTTGAGGAGGACATGGGAGCGGGAACGAAGGGCAAGAAAAGGACGCGGGGGGGGGGGGGGGGGGCGACCCGTCAGCGCGGCAGCAGCTGAGGGAAGGTGGCAGGGGGCAGAGGACGACGACGAAAGCGACGGGAAGAGACCGCAGAATGTTGCATTTGTCGGTAGTGCGCTAGAGATGCGGCGGTGCCTGCACAATGTCGCCGCGGCGCTCGACAAAATGATTAAAGATGCTTATACTCAGTGCGAGAAACGAGCGAGAACTAGCTCGCCCGTCAACTTCCCTGATTCCTTCCCGCACTCTTCAGTGCGGGAGCTGAACGCTCGAAGGCGCGCCGCCAGGTCTGCGGGCGGTCCTGGACAGCGCCTCGCTGGATCCCCTATCAGCCCTCGAACGTGGTGACAGTTTCGCAGATCGCAGCCCCCCAGGGATGGCGAGGTCTAGTCTGAGTCTGATCGCAGCCCCCCATGGATGGCGAGGTCTGATCTGAGTCTGGGTGGTGTCTCGCTCCGCTGAACCCCTCGAAGGGCCTCGAAAGTAGCGACAGATTCGCAGATCGCAACCCCCCATGGATGGCGAGGTCTGATCTGAGTCTGGGTGGTGTCACACTCCGCTGAACCCCCAGCAGCCCTTGAAAATGGCGACAGTTTCGCAGATCGCAGCCCCCCAAGGATGGCGAGGTCTGATCTGAGTCTGGGTGGTGCCTCACTCTGCGGACCCCCCAGCAGCCCTTGAAAATGGCGACCGTTTCGCAGATCGCAGCCCCCCATGGATGGCGAGGTCCAATCTGAGTCTGGGTGGTGCATCACTCTGCTGGACCCCCCAGCAGCCCTTGAAAGTGGCGACAGTTTCGCAGATCGCAGCCCCCCAGGGATGGCGAGGTCTAGTCTGAGTCTGGGTGCTGCCTCACTCCACTGAACCCCCAGCAGCCCTGGAAAGTGGTCACGGTTTCGCAGATCGCAGCCCCCCATGGGCGGCGAGATAAAATCTGAACCTGGGGCGGGTACCCACTATGCTGGTCCCCTCAGCAAGCCCCAAATCACCCCCCCCCCAAGGACGGCGAGGTCTAATCTGAGTCTGCGGCGGATGCCCACTATGCTGGTCCCCCCGGCAAGCCCTCGAGACTGGCGACCGTTTCGCAAACCGCAGCTCCCCAGAGATGGCGAGGTCGAATTTCAGCCTGCAGCGGGTACCCATTATGCTGGTCACCCAGCAGTCCTCGAGAGTGGCGACAGTTTCGCAGATCACAGCCCCCCCCCCAGGGATGGCGAGGTCTAATCTGAGTCTGCGGCGGGTACCCACTATGCTGGTCCCCCCAGCAGACCTCGAAAGTGGCGACCGCTTCGCAGATCGCAGCCCCCCCATGGATGGGGAGGTCTAGTCTGAGTCTGCGGCGGGTACCCACTATGCTGGCCCCCCCCCCCCCCAGAAGACCTCGAAGGTGGAACAGTTTCGCAGACCGCAGCCCCCCAGGGATGGCGAGGTCTATCGAATCTGAGTCTGCGGCGGGTGCCGACTATGCTGGCCCCCCTCCTAACCCTCGAAAGTGGCGACCGTTTCGCAGATCGCAGCCCCCCATGGATGGCGAGGTCTAATCTGAGTCTGCGGCGGGTACCTTCTAGTCTGGTCCCCTCAGCAGCCTTCGAAAGTGGCGACAGTTTCCAAGATCGCAGCTCCCACAGGCAAGCCACCAGGCCCCACAGGCAAGCCACCAGGCGCACAGCGCACAGGAGAGGAGAGGAGAAGGGAGGCGGGGAGGAGGAGGAAAGAGGAGGAGAATGGAGACCGCAGTGCTCTATTCAAAACTAGAACCCAACGCATGGGGGTTGGGACAAACAAGCTCCAGGGAGGCCGGGAAACCTGGATCGGTCTCTGGAGCTTTCTCACGCGAACGGCCTCCTGCATTGTAGGAGGGATTCGGGCTGACCTGTGAACTACGTCCACGAAATCCCCAAGGACTGGTCTGCTTTCTGTGGACATGCTGCCGACATGTTGAATTGATAACGTGGGGGTCGACCCTTGCACTTCTCGCATGCTACTGCGTACTGCTGCTGGCTGCCGCTGTTGCGTGTTGTTGGTAATGCTTGCTGTTGCTGCGTAAGGTCGCTGCGTGTGGCTGCAGTGTGCTGCTGATGGCAAGTTCTGCTTGGTGCGTACGGCTGCCTGATGCCTGCTGCCTGGTGCTGTCCACTATTGCTGTGTGGTGCCGCTGCTGCTGACTGCTTCCTGCTGTGTGGAGCTGCCGTGCGCTGCTCCATGCTGCTGCAGAGTGTTGCTTTTCGCTCCTTCAGCTTGCTCGCAAACTGCTGCCAGGTGAGGATCGAGCAGGGAGGAGGGAGAAGCGAGGAGCGATCAGCGAAGAGCGAGGAGCAAGGAGGGAGGAGCGCCTGCCGAGGGGAGAAGGGCGAGGAGGGAGGAGGGAGAGCCGAGGAGGGAGGAGGCGGGAGGCTCTTGGGAGTCTCCTGGGGCCTCGTTAGGGACGGCCTCTTTCGGAATGTCTCCTGGGGGCCTTCTTGGGGTCTCCTGGGGCCTTCTTGGGAGGCTTACTTCGGGGCTTCTTTGGCTCCCTCGGGGCCCTCCAAAGCCTCATGGGGGGTGATTGGGCTGTTTGAAGCTCTCTGGGGCCGTCCTGGAGCCCTCTTGGGCGAAGTGGTATGCCCTGCGGGCCATCTTGGAGCGCCCCACGCCGGGGCAGGAGCACGCAAAAACTGGGACGCGCCCACCGTTTCTGAACGAGCTGCGCCTGGCAATAGTAATACATAAACGAGTGCTAATGGCAAGCTGCTTCGTGCTGCCGTGTGCATGCCTGACTGGCTGCTTGTCTGCATGCTTGCCCGCTTGACTGCTTGTCAGCTTGTCTTCGATCATGGTAACGTGGGTGCTGGTAGCATGCAAAACTGGCATGATGCCTGCTTGCATGCTTGCACGCTGGCTTTCCATCGTCTGCTTGCTGATGCACGCTGTTACAGCATGCTGGTGCAGCTTGCTGGCGTTGCCTGCTGCCTACTGCTTGCTGCTGCTCGGTGCCGCTGCCTGCTGGTGCTCTCGTGGGCCGTACCAAAAGTATCTCGGGGCCCTGTGGGGTCATTGGGGGGTGGTGCTGCAAGTTCCTCGTTCAGCATGCTGCTGCTGCTGCTGCTGCCCAGTGCCACTTGCACTCGACGGGGGGGATCGCACACGGCAAAAGCGAGCCGATCAGCGGGACTGCACCCTTCCAGTGAGGAGGAAGAGGAGGAGGAGGAAGAGGAGGAGGAAGGGAAGCGGAACACTTGCAGAAAGTGAGCGGAAGGCAACAGCAGGAGCGGCATGAACGCCAAACAGATCTTGGGAGACCACGACGGCCTGATCAGAGGCCTTCCACACGGGGTCGGAGCAGATGGGATCGGAGGATCGCGCCGCATTTCCGATGCGTCGCCGATGCATCGGCGATGCATCGGCAAAGTCGACGTGGAGAAAATCGGGCTCCAGTTCGAGCCGCATCGCCGTTGCACCTGCTCGATGCTGATGCTGCTTTTGCTCTTGCTCTTGCAGGGCCCAGGGGCTGTTCGAGAGTTAGGAGCCTCCCAAAATGGGTTCGAGTAGATGGGGGCAGAGGACCAGGCCGCATCGCCAATGCATCGGCACTGCGGATCGATGTGGAGCCCGATTTTCTCTACGCCCCCCAAAAATGTGCCGTGGACACCTCGAGGCCCTCTGGGGCCGCATCCAGGCGTCCAAAGGTCTGGTCGGTGCCCTTTTGAAGTCGTCTGAGTGCCCGGCCGTCTCACGACTCCCCTGGATCGCCCGGGCGGCGTCGGAAGCGCCCTGGGACGTCATATAGTGCAGCGCCTACGGGGGCCCTCTTGGGCTGCCTGGGGCCGTCTCGGAAGCAAATTGGGAAAGCCTGGGGCCCTCTGAAGCTGTCCTGCCCCTCCCTTGGGCCAGCACGCGAGCGAAGCAAAAATCATTGAACCACCTACCGTCTTTGGATCGTGCCTGCTGCCGCGCTTCTGTATTGGGCCCGGTCTTGGGGTTTCTTCCCCTTGGTGGGAAGGATACAATATTGGGCTCTGGGGCCAACTTCGACAGCTCTTCGTGCGTTCTTGGACCGCTGGAAGGTCTCTCTTGAAGAGCGGTGGGCGCCACTTGGTGCAGGAGCCACTCCCACACGCACGCGGCGCTGTAGCGTAGGGAGGACGACGCTGGGTTCCAACTTCACCTCCGACACCTCGCTGAGCAGGGCCAGAGCCAACTGCCACTGCTCGCCTTTCCCGAACGCGCTGATCCCGCTTGTGTAGCTGACGATGTTGGGCATCTCCTGAGATTCCTGCATCTCCACGAAAAGCGACAAGGCCAACTGCCAATGCTCACCCACGGTGCACGCGCTGATCCCAACGTTGTAACTGACTAGAATTAATCCGTAGACTACTGTCCACAAGCCAGTGACGCGTGAGGAATTACATCATGTCCGGTCTGCTGCTGCTGGGAGCTCTGATGGTACTGGCTCCGCTGCTTGCGGCGATCGGTGGCTCGTGCTATCCTTCTTGGACTGTCTCGGGGCTCTCTTCCGGTGCTTTTCGGGGCCATTTCGGGGACCCCTAATTAAGCTTCTGGAAACCCTCTGGGGGGGGCATTTGGGCCATCTTGGGGCGGTCTTGGGCCGTGTTGGGACCTTCTGGGCAACCCTGGAAGCCAGCCTGCGCCGTTTTGGGGGCATTTCGAGCCCTCCTGGGGACGCTTCTGGGGCCGCTTGGGCCCTCTCGGATGCCTGGGGCTCGTCTCGGAACCGTCGAGAACAGGCACGTGGAGAAACAACACCGATGCAGACAGCTTAAAACTAAGCTTCGCTTAGCAACTCATGGGCAAGGCGGGGGCCAGCGACAACTGCACGAATTAAAAACTTAGCTTGCGAAGCTCAGAAGATAGCCGGAACATAACATCCACACTCCAATGCGCTGGAAGGGCCCTGCGGGCAAGGTATAATCAAAGATGCGAAGTGGCAAAGGAGCCACATTCTACCGCGCGTGAAGTTCCTAGCTTTGGGCACAATCTTTGACGATGAGATGGCATCACGATCGCCATCTGCCTGAGAAACTCTGGTTCAAAAAAGTGGTGGGCGCGGCGGGAAGGCTGGAGCGTCCCGTTTACGACGCGGCCCCCGCACCCTCAAAGAGACAGTTAAACCAAGTTCACAAAACGATCACTGGCTGAACAACTCATGGGCAAGGCGGGGGCCAGCGAAAACTGCAACTGCCCTGTAACGTACCCAACCTATTTGCATCAAATGGCAAGAGGAATTCGCCCAAACTTTCCACGACAATGACAGCGCAGGCGCCGTTACATGTTGTGCAAGCTACATGGGATGCGGTCACGTGGTACGATTCACAAGACAAAAACGGAAGGACGAGGGGCGAGCGCCCAGGGAGGACATAGGATCGGGAACGAAGGGCAGGAAAAGGACGCGTGGGGGGAACCGACCCATCAGCGCGGCAGCAGCAGAGGGAAGGTGGCAAGGGGCAGAGGACGACGACGAAAGTGACCAGAGGAAACCGAACAGTGCTGCCTTTGTCGGTAGTGCGCTAGACATGCAGCGCTGCCTGCGCCATGTCGCTGCGGCGCTCGACGAAATTATTAAAGCTGCTTACAGTTGGTGCAAGAAACAAGCGAGGCTTAGCTCGCACGCGGATGGTGAGGTCAAATCTGAGTCTAAGTGGTGCCTCACCCCGCTGAACCCCCCAGCAACCCTCGAACCTGGCGACGGTTTCGCAGATCGAAGACTCCCAGGGATGGCGAGGTCTAATCTGAGTCTGGGTGGAGACGCACTCCGCTGAATCACCCCCGAAGGCCTCGAAAGTGGCGGCGGTTTCGCAGATCGCAGCACTCCAGGGATGGCGAGGTCTAGTCTGCGTCTGGGTGGTGCCTCACTCCGCTGAATCCCCCAGCAGCCCTTGAGAAACTGGCGACAGTTTCGCAAACCGCAGCCCCCCCATGGAATGCGAGGTCTAATATGAGTCTGAGTGGTGCTTCTCTCCGCTGGACCCCCCATCAGCCCACGTCGAAAGTGATGCTGGTTTCGCAGATCGCAGCCCCCCCCCCTGGGATGGCGAGGTCTAATCTGAGTATGGGTGGCGCCTCACTCTGCTGGACCCCCAAGCAGACTTCGAAAGTGGTGGCACTTTCGCAGGTTGCAGCCCCCAGGGACGGCGAGGTCTACTCTGAGTCTGGGTGGTGCCCCACTCCGCTGACCCCCAGCAGCCCTCGAAATTGGCAACAGGTTTCTCACATCGCAGCCCCCCAAGGATGGCGAGCGATAGTCTGAACCTGCGGCGGGCACCAACTTTGCTGCCAACCCCAGCAACCCAAAGGTTGCGACAAAGTCGCAGATCGCTCCCCCCCCGGGAATGGTGAGAGCAAATCTGAATCCGCGGAGGGTGCCCACTACGCAGGACCCCCAGCAACGCTTGAAAGTGGCGACAGTTTCGCAAACCGCAACCCCCAAAGATGGCGAGGTCTAATCAGAGTCCGCGGCGAGTGCCCATTATGTTGGTCCCCCCAGCAGCCCTCGAGAGCGGCGACCGTTGCGCACACCGCAGCCCCCCAGAGATGGCGAGATCTAATAGAGACTGCGACGGGTACACACTATGCTGGTCCCCCCAGCAGCCCTCGAAACAGTTTCGCAGATCGCAGCCCCCCATGACATGCGAGGTCTAATATGAATCTGCGGCGGGTATCCACCATGCTGGTGCCCCCAGCTGATCTCGAGACTGGCGACCGCTTCGCAGCCCCCCAGGGATGGCGAGGTCTAATCTGAATCTGCGGCGGGTATTCGCTAGGTTGCCCCCCCCCAGCAGATCTCGAGAGCGGCGACCGTTTCGCAGATCGCAGCCCCCTCAATGGGATGCGAGGTCTAATCTGAGTCTGCGGCGGGTACACACTATGCTGACCCCCCCCCGGCAGCTCTCGAAAGTGGCGACAGTTTCGCAGATCGCAGCCCCCCCCCCCCCGGAATGCGAGGTCTGATCTGAGTCTGCGGCGGGTATCCACTATGTTGGGCCCCCCAGCTGATCTCGACAGTGGCGACCGCTTCGCAGATCGCAGCCCCCCAGGGATGGCGAGGTCTAATCTGAATCTGCGGCGGGTGCCAACTAAGTTGGCCCCCCCAGCAGACCTCGAAAGAAGTGACCACTTCGCAAATCGCAGCCCCCCCCAGAGATAGCGAGGTCCAATCCGACTCCGCGTCGGGTGCTCACTATGGTGGTCCCCCCAGCTTCGCAGATCGCAGCTCCCCCAAGATGGCGAGGTCTACTCTGAGTGTGCGGCGGGTAGCCACTATGCTGCCCCCCCCCAGCAGCCCCCGAAAGTGGCGACAGTTTCGCAGATCGCACTTCCCACGGGCAAGCCACCAAGCCCCACGGGCAAGCCACCAGTCGCACGGCGCACAGGAGAGGAGAGGAGAAGGGAGCCGGGGAGGAAGAGGAAGGAGGAAGAGAATGGAGACCGCAGCGCTCTGTTCAAAACAAAACCCAACGCAGGAGGGTTGAGAAAAAACTAGAAGATGCGATCTGACGAAGCTCGGTAGATGACCTGCATATATTTGTACCACATTCCAGCGCGGTAAAAAAAAGGCCATGCGGGCCAAGTATAATCAAGGATGTGAGCTGGCAGCCAAATCACACTTCAACGAACGTGAAACTCCCAGCTCTGAACACAATCTCTGACGAGGAGATTGATGGCATCACGACCGTCATCTTCCAACGCCCGCACCACATGCCTGAGATGGGCTGTCGCTGTCGGGCAGGGAGCGGCCTGACGCAGCGGTAACCACTATCATAATTCACAACACCACGCAACACCAAACTCAGAAAAATGGGCACGCCCACCGATTCTTCGGCGCGCCATCTGGCCAAAATGGCATCGCCACACGCGGGGTGACGGCCGTGCTCGTAGGCCACCGCCTCAGGAGGCCCGCGCATGCATGGCACCCCTAGCCACCCAATGGGCGGGCCCCCTGTCTTCTCGTCTCGCTTTGTCCGCCAGCCAGTGTCCTCGCCGAAAATCTCGCTTGACAGAAAAAGGCCGCTGCAGTTCTCGTCGTCGCTCTGCCGCTGTTGTCTCTTGCCTCGAGCCGGAGGGGCCTGCGCGTTTAGGAACTCGGCCGCGACGTCACGTGCCGGCCCCTTTACCGCTGCGATATCCAGTGCTCTGGGCAGGCCCACCACCGGCCTCGGGGGACATCGAAGGGCTCGAAGGATCTCCGTCTTCAGGTCACGCGTCGCCGCCCGACTGGCCGCGAGGACTGTCGGTCATCTTGGGGCGGGACTGCGCGAGGGCGAAAATCTCGAGTGCCGCTGCGCGCTCGAGAGGATATTCAAGCGCCCGCGGCGCCTCGCGTGCTCGAGCGTCGATCTTCCGCAAGCCGCGTCCTCGCTAGGACACGAGTGGCGGATTCGACGAGGCGTGGGCGCCCGCAGCGCGCCGAGGGCAAGGCCTGCCCCTGGCTGAAGCCGAACAGCTTCTGGTCCTGGTTCGATCGGAAGTCGCGCAGGCCCATCGCCAGGTTCGCGAACGCGCCGCGACGCAGCACCGCTCTTTGGTCGGTGCCTGTCTTGACTTCCTCGCCACGGCTAGAGACTCCGAGCGCCAAGGCCAAGCGCTGGCCGCCCCAGACGGCGCCCGCAATTTTCAGCAGTTGCATGTCCTGCTCGCGGCCGAAGACGTCGTACTGCGCAAGGGCCCAGACCGCCTCGACATATGGCCCGTCTCGAACATGTAGCTCGCAATGGCGCATGGCCTCCACGGGGGGCGGGCCACCCACGCTCGAACCTGCCTGCTTCTGTCAGCTCTCCAGGGCCCTGATAGCACGCGGCAACTTGTTGCGCCGCTCCGGCCCGATCACCAGCCAGCCGAACGAGGGTCGCCCTCCTCCGCTCGCAATAGCACCAGATACCCACGTAGTCGGCGACAGCACTGTCGACATCAAGACCCGACGTAAGCCACCAGCCGATATTGCTGCATAACACACGGAACTGGCGGACCTCTGGGGCCCGCAGCCAGATCGTCGCGTCTGCCGCCGAGTGCGTCAGGAGACGGGTGAAGTTTCCGTCGCGACGTCCTGCGCTGGGCCCGCGCCGCGCGGCTGCCCCGCGCCCGACGCCCCCGCATGAGCGCGGGCAATGAAGCACAGTGGCGGAAGAGGCTCGCGCCTGCAGCCGCGGGCCCGCTTGGGGCTCCCAGCGTAGCATGCGCATGCGCAGTCCATCGCTCGCAGCTCGTGCCCGATCGGGAAATGTTCGACTCTGGTTCCTTCGGCAGAGGCGGCTTGGTCGCTGCGGGCCCTGGCGGTCTCCAGCGCCTCCTCCAGGAACCCTTCCCGCGACGGGCCGTCTGCCGCGTTCGCCTGCGACGGCGCGCAGCGGCAGGGGCCGTCGACGCCACGCGGGAGGGTGGCGGCCGCCGACTGGCGACAGCGGCGCGAAAGAACAGGGGCGATCGACCGGCCCCTCCACAGAGCGCCCACCGCCGCCGCGCTGTCCGTCAAAATGAGGACGCGTGACCCCTGGATCTCGACGTTCTTGCCAAATGTCTCAGGAGCCCCACGATGGCGCGCCTCGTTGATGCGCGCGCGATCGGTCGCCCTCCACTGGTAATCAGTGGCCGCGCGCGCGACAGAGGCGGAATGCAAACCCGATCCCCGCGGCGCGCTTCCACCCTCGATCTCCCAAGGCGCGGACGCCCCGGGTCGCCGCGGCGGGGGGGGGCGGAGCAATCCCTGAGTAAAACCTACAGGGCTCCTACTTCATCAGGGCGGGCGCCTCGATGATCACCTCGCCGCGAACGTCGCGCAACTTCGGCCAGTGGGTCTGCGCCGTTGACGTTCGAGAGGTCGGGCTTCCAGATTCCTGCCGCCCTTTGGACAATCACCCGGCGGGCCCCCCTCGCGGTTGCATGTCAGACGCAATCGCAAGGATGCCCCTCGCGGGGCTCGGTCGAAGCAGCCGTAGAGGCCGACCATCGCGAGTTTCGCGGGTGGCGCCCCAGCCCTAGATCGACGGGCACGGCGGCCCCCCAGGGTCGGCAGGGTGCTTCGATGAGCCGAGGCCGCCAGCGTCGCAGACAGCTCTGGCGGCCATGAGCGACGTCAGGAGGGGCTGCGACCGATGCTCCAGGCGGCGCCTCTTCCAGGCGGTCATCGAGACGTCGGGGCGGCTCCGCGGCTCCGCGCGCGCGCCCGACGCGGGCGCGGTCCATGGCCCCGAGAACGGGCGCGGATCCAAATCGAAAGCGGCGGGGAGGCCAGCGCGCCGCTGGCCCTTGCCCAGAAGTTCCAGAATGCCGTTCGCAGAGTCTGACTCAGCGAAGTCGCACTTCGGGTCAATCACCGCACCCAGGGGCCGCGCTTCGAGCGGCGGGCTGAGGTGGCCGCGCCGCCCGCTCGAGGGCGCCTGGGCAGCGCACCCCCTAAGAACTGGCAGAGGAACCGAAACGCGCGCGAGCTTGGCCCTCGGGGAGGACTGGTCGATGCCAAACTTAGCTCGCCCACGTCGCAAGATTTACCGTCGCGGCCCTCCTTCGGCGCATCCCCGTCGATGGCGGCGCGCAAGTAGTGCTCGGGCACGATGGTCCAACCTCTGAACTCGCTGCACCTCGCCACCGCGCGGATCGCCTCTGCGGCTGTCGCCGCTGCCGCGCCGCGGCCCGCGTCGCGGGAATCGGCCATGAGGGCCCGGCGAGACGCGCGGCCTCGAGGTTCGCGACCGCGTGCGAGGCGAGACAGGAAGCTGACGTCTGTATTTGTTCACCCGCACAATTAGTTGCGCTTTCAAACTCAAGCGCGGAATATCACCACAGCGAAGCTGCGCCGCCGCGCGAGATAGAGGAAAACACGGCGGTCGGCGAGTTACGCTGCTCAAGGGCCCAAACATATTCTCAAAGCCCAGCCGTGAAACGACGAGGAGGCAGAGTCGAATAATGAGCCAGGCCGCGCGAGGTTCTTAGATCCAGACAGAACTCAACAACTACCAGGCCAGACCTGAAGCGCCCCGGGGGAGGGGGGGCGAGGGGAGAAGACGGGCGAGGGCAAAATTCGCGCGCGCGGAGACCAGTGAAGACGGCACACGCACTGCGGGACCCACGCCAGCGGGGCAGATGGGGAAGGGGGGAGGAGAGCAGGAGAAGAGGACCAGAGAGGGGAAGACAAAACACGTAAAAAAGAAGGGAAGCTCAGCAAGTATTGAAGATGGCAACGTGGTGCCGCGGCCGGCGGCAGCGCCCTGCCGCGCGCGGGCGCCCCCTGGGCGGCGGGGGGGCGAGCCCGGCGCAATGTCTGGGGTGGGCCGCCAGCGGCCGGGCAGGAGTCGTGCCGCTGCAGTGAACGGGTGGCAACGCCCCTGCTTCGTTAAACAACTACATAACCAACCGGGAGGAGAGGAAGAAAGGAAGCTGAAGCCTGTAACCATCGCGCCTGTCCCAGACAACTTGAAGGGGTAGCAGGGGCAGCTGGGCGCCTCATTGCGTGGTATACCTGATCGGAGACTGAAAGACTCGCCCCCTGCATGGAGCACTGCCACCCGGGCCCCGGGGCCCGCCGGGCGCGCCAGCATCGCCGCCGCCCAGTTGGGCCGCCCGCCCCACCAGCGCCCGCGCCACGAGGGCGAGCCGACGCGGCGGGGGCGGGCACTATGGACGGCTCCAGGAGACTCGAGGCCCCCCCCCTTCCTGCTTCCTGTGCGCCGGCCAGCCGACGCCGCCCAGGTGGGCCTCGGCCTCCGCTGCCATGCCGGGCGCGACCTCTGCTCGGGGCTGTCGGCGCTTAGCGATGCAACCGCGATGCCGCGGTCGCCTGAGCGGGCCCAGTTCAGCGCCTCAACGCCCGCGGCCTCGTCGCGAAGCCGGGGCGCAGGGGCCCCGCGCGCGAGGCGGGCCTGCAGCCGCGATTCGCCGAGGGCGCCCTCCGCGCGCGCCTGCAGAGTGGAGCGCGCGAGGAACGGGGACCAAGACCAGCCTGCGACGAGCGCCCTCAAGGCCAATAACTCGAACCTTTCGCGGACCTCGACGTCGACGCTCTGCTCGTGCATGATCCACGAGCTGGTCGACCGTCGCCCTTCCAAGCAGGGTCAGCATGGCGGGGCATCTCCAGCCTATGGAGCATGTCACATGTCTGGAACACCCCCGACCCCCGAGCAGTTGCGGCCGCCCGCCCCCGCCCCCGACAAGTCCAGATGGGCGAACGAGGCGGCGCGGCCAAGCGGGCGCGCGGGGCGGCCGCCCCCGCCGTAGGTCGACCCTCCTCTCATCCAGAAGAGGCGCGCGCCTGCCCCTCCACGACCCGGTGGCCGCCCACCTCTTTCCCCGCGTACTTCGCGACGGCCCCGAAGAGCGACGCCGACTCCACCTGGCAGCGCGTGAAGGTCAGCACCCCACCTGTCCAGAGCCTCTCGGCCAAGCGCAAGCGTGATCTTCGCGACTTCAACGCGGGGTCCGGGCAGACCGCCTGGCGCTCCAGCTCCCACTTCAACGCCGGACCGGGTCGCCTCGGCGCGCGGCCCGCCGCGCCCGCGAAGTACTCGGCGGCCAGAGGGCAGACGCCGATGAGACTGCCAGGGGCGGCGCCGGGCGCAGGCAGCGCCGACTCGTCCGCGTCGACAGGGCACGTTGCGCCTTTCGGAAGCATGCGTCGGCCCTTCGATTCTGCGCCCAGGGCCTCGGTGACCCCGCTCGCCCTCGCATGGTGAGGCCCGGCCAGCCAGGGCGAGCTCGCCAGCCGCGTCCAGATCCGCGACGACGTTGTCGACGTGGCCCTGCCAGGATGCCCGCGAGTCCAGAAACTCCGCGGCCGTCCTCCCCTGGAGCTGAATCGCTCGGCCCCGCGGTGCCGGCCCCCGCCTGGCCCGCTGGCCGGCCCCACTCCACCGCGCGAAAGCGCGCGAAGATGGCGAACCAGCACGTCGGTCAAGCCCCTCACCGAACATGCCACAGGGGGCGGACTCCATGCGGTCAGCCACCACGGCGCACGGGGGTAGCGGCAGATGCGGCGGCATATCGCGATCGCGAGGGCGAGCCCCTGGCGGCGGGAATGCGCCTGGCGTCGCCATGGCGGGGGGCAGCACAGCTGATGCGACAGAAATGAGCCGCGTGCCGACGAGGAGTAGCCGACGACGACGCGGACGTAGGAAGCCGAGGAGGGGGGCCACTCCACCGAGAACGCGCAGCCTGGGTTGAGCCTATAGATACAGCCGCTGTCGAAGCAGACGGAACGCCAGAGAGCGCCGGCGCCCACGGCCGGCGCCGCGAGAGCTGCACTTCGGCGAAACCTTTCGCGCGGAAAGCCACTTGCCCTCCTCCCCCTACTCCCTTCCTCCCTTCCTCCTCCCCCTCCTCCTCCGCCCCCTCCTCCCCCCCCCTCCTCCTCCTCCTCTTCCTCCTTGTCCTCCTCCTCCTCCTCCTCCTCCTCCTCCTCCTCCTCCTCCTCCTCGGCGACATCGCAGCCCGCCTCGTGCAAAGACTTCTGGTGCGGCGCCTTCTGCCGAAGCCTCTGGGTGAGATCCTTCTCTGAGGGCTCTTCGCCATCCATGATCGAGCGCTGGCCCAACTCGTTGGCCAAGCCCCGGCGCACCTTCGGTTTCCACGATTTCCACTTGCTCGCCGCTGCCCCCCGCGGCTGCTTCCAGTCCGCCAGCGAGTTCGCGCCCTCAAAAGCCCGCCTCAACGCGCGCGCTCGGGCGCGCAAAATCTCGCAGCCCGCCGTCGCGAGTCAGTCGGGAATCGACTCCAACATGCGATCGAGCTTAATTCCCCACCTAGGCTCTGCCTAGAGGGTTCTTGCTCTCTTTCTTAAAGGGGCCGGGTAGAGCACACCGCCCCGGGCGGTTCCCCCAGTATCCGCCCCGCGGTTCCCCCAGCTACGTCCCCTTAGCTTAGCGTTGCTGATCTCATCTTACCTTAGCCTATGGCATCTTAGCTTAGCTTAAGTTCATCTTAGCCCAGGTCTATCTTAGCTTAGCTTACCTTCTTTTTAGCTCTGGTGAACTTTAGCATAGCATAGCATGGGTGTAATTCCCGACCTAGGCTCTGCCTAGAGGGTTAGCTTAGCTTAGCTTAGCTTAGCTTAGCTTAGCCTAGCTTAGCTTAGCATAACGCAGCGCTGCATTAGCATAGCATACAATCGCATAGACTAGACAAGCATATCATAGCTTATCATAGCATAGCATAGCGTAGCGTAGCGCAGCGTAGCATAGCATAGCACCGCGCAGCTTAACATATCATAGTATATCATAGCATGTCTTCGCATAGCACAGCGCAGCATGCCATATCATAACTTAGCATAGCATAGCATGGCATAGCGCAGCATTGTACAGCATATCATAACATAGCATCGCATAGCGCAGCATAGCATGGCATAGCAGAGCATATCATAGCAACTAACGCTGCTTTCCTAGGGGGTCCAACTTCTAGGTAGGGTCGCGCTGGGGTAGTGTAGTTTAGCATTATATCGTGGCTCATGCGGTTATATCACAGCTGCTTCTGCTTCGCCCAACCGGCCGCGAACTACCCCATGCCCCCGTGCTTGCAGAAGGTCTGGGCGTGCAGCTCGGGTGCGATCCGCGCGGCCCAACCAAGCGGCAAGTCGAAGATGGGCGCTGCCTTCAGCCTCGTCAGGTTCACCGTCAAGCGGGCCGTCGGGTCCTTCAGCGCATCGCGAGACGGGCTCACAGGAGCGGGCGAAGGTTCTCCATCAAGCGGGTTCCAGGTTGAGGGTGGGGGGCTCGGTCGTTCCCCGCCGTCGCCGCCGTCGAAATCTGGTCCACCACCGCACGCCGTGATCCCCCCGTTCGGTCTGCTTGAATGGTCTTCTCGATCTGCTGCGATCCATCCATCATGCGATCGACGTGTATGCCTCTGTCGGCAGAGCCCGGTATGCGTTCCCAGCTGCCTGCGCTCGACACGGGGCGCCAGCTTGAGGAACCCCCAGACGGTCGAGGGCTGCCTCCGGAATCGGAATGCTGACGACGGCAGTCGCGTCGGTCGCGCTTCCCCTCGCCCAGCGGATCCTTCATTATCTCGGCCTCGGTGCCCCCCTCCGACTCGGACTCCGAAGCGACCGAATGTCCTGCCTCCCCGTCACTGTCCACGTCGCTGCCCGGGGGAGAGCCCGCCGTGAAGCGCGGACCCCCTTGCCGACGCGTCCAAATCCAGAACATCAGGGCGAGCGCTGGACAGAGGGATATCAAAAGTACGGGTCGCTCCAGGCACAGGTCGAACAAGTAGGCCCGGAACCCGTCGATCTCCATCAGGAAGGAGTTCGTGTCGTCCATCTTCTCGACCGTCCACCTCGCCCAGCTCCAGCCAGCGCGGAGGTAGACTGCGGCCCTCGGGGCGAACAAGACAAGGCTCCGCGTCGTTGACCACGCGGACGCTCACCAGAGAAAGACTGCTTCACTTCGAATCCAATCCAGCCCTGATCCCCAGGAGAGCCGTCACAAAACACTGAAGTCCATGCTGAGTTGTTTCTCGGTGCCCGCCACGATGGCGGCGGCTTGCTCGGCTGACAGGGCGGGGGGGTCCACGTGGTTCATGTTCGGCTGTCTTTTTGCAATGATGCGTGACCAGTCTTTGATATCTCCGGAACCGAGGCTTCGATCGGGACGGGCATACAGCCACCGCGTGTCGCCTTTCTTGCGTGGGTAGGGCCGCATCAGCATCAGGACGACTTCGCTCTGACCACCTCCAGAGCTCCGATACACGCGATTCCGTCGGTGCACGACAGACATAGACAAGCCCACCTACGCACTCAAACTCAGTCTCGGGCTCACGCGCTCGTGGCGCGCCCGAAGTCTGTCTCGTTACAGGGCACCAAATGCGACTCGAGGGCCCAGTGGACCAGCCCAGCGCCACCAACGAAGGAGACGGCGAGCCCTATGGCGAGGGCCACGCGCCACGAGGTGTTGAAGCCTACGGCAAGCAGCCGCTTGCGGAGTAGCAGCACGTGCGGACGGGGCTGGCTGCAGACCCGCGCGAACGGCCTGAACCACGAAAGGTTTGAGCGTCCCGTGCGATCACGCACCCCTAGAGGGACAGCTCAATCAAGTGTATACAACGATTATGGCGATCTTCCCATCTCGGGTGCGCCAAAAGTGCCCCAAGTGTCGCGTGAAATCTCGAGAGGCCCCTCCTCCTCATCCTCATTGTTTGCTCGCCACGAGCACAACAACAGAACAACAGTGATGCAATATGGGCCGGCGGAACTAGCGACACGATTGAATTCGGCGAACCCTATGCGGGCCCTCGCCGCGTTACCCTTCGAACAAAAATGATAAGATAGAGGTGACATGGAGGACGCGCTTTTAGCACGCATGAAGGCATGCGGAAAGTGACGTCAAGCATTCCGCCAGCCTCCAAATGACAGATTTCTTCAACCCTCTTCGGGGCATGTACATATACGAATAATACGTGTTCCCAGAGCTAGGCCCACGCGCGTGACAGCTCCTGGATCATGTAAACACATATGAGATGCGCCCTCCGGGCTGCAAAAGTTTCGTCTCGGCGCACCCATCACGCATTTCTTCTCTAGCATTATTCTGAGACGCGTGGACATGCGAGTGAAAAGCGCCTTCATGGCTACGGCACTGCCATTTCAGCACGCCCCTTTCGCATTTCCTGTTCCACACTCGACTGGGACACGTGAACATACAAGTGATCTACGCTCCGAGTCAGTTCGAGCACCTACGGGACGCAAGCGTTGGCCCCAAGAGACATGGCAACGATTGGTACCGACCATCGTCGAGGCAACATCCCTAACACCCACTGATTGCGACATCTGCGTGCATGCTTCACCCTGGGAGCCCGTCGTGACTCCCGCTCTGCGGGCTCAGGCCCTCGCCGGGCTGGCATGCGAGACAAGATGATGAGGTGGAGGATGATGAAGGCGAGAGAGATTGCATGCGAAAGTGCATGCCAGGATCGGCTTTGCACTTCGCACTTTCCGCAGAGCAGGGCTGCATCACAGCTGCTGGGGCACGTAAACTGGCTGTGATCTGCGCCCCGAGGGTAACGAAAGTTTCGTTCCGGTGCGCCCCTGACGCACTTCCTGTCTGACATGACCCTCTGGGGCGCGTGGCCATACGAGTGATTTGCCCTCGCAGGGCCACGAGCGCCAGAGTCTGCATACTACTGACGTGTTTCCTGTCACATACTCCCCTGGGGACACCCAAGCGGCTGTCCGACCCCCCACGGAACGCCAACATGGCCCAGTGAAACAGTGCAACGATTGGTGCCAACCCTCGTCGAGGCAGCATCCGTAGCACCCACTTGCAACCTCGGCGCGAGGAGCCAGGACGGAGCCCCTCAGGGCTTCTGGCAAGGGCCTCCGGCGGAGCCTGTCGGACAAACTCTGCGGCCTTGCAAGGGCGTCTTGGGCTGTCAGAGATTTTTCTGGGGAATCCTGAAACCTTTCGCATAAGATGCTCCATAGACACTCTGGGGGCCTGTGGGCTTCCCGCGGGCTGGGCGGCTGGGAAACACACTGGAGACAGGAGCTTTTCCCACACGCGCCGGGTCACGCAAGTGTCGAGGTGGTAGCGCGCACCCGTGGGTTGGATCAACCTGCTGCTACTGCTGCTGCTGCTGTGGGTTCATGTTGCTGCTGATTGCTGCTGCTGGCAGGCTATGAATGCTGATATAAGGCTGCGGTTTGCTGATGCTGCTGTTTCCTGGCTCTGCTGGCTACTGCTGCGCAAACGGCCTTGCGTTGTCTTGGAGCCAAATTCAGGGCCATCCAGGCCTCTCGGGTCATCCTGGAGGTCTCTTGGGCCCTTCTTCGAGCCATCTTCTGTAGTAACATTCAAACTTCTACAAAACCACCTTACGCGGAAGCATCGTGGAGCCTCGACGGGATGTCCGGTCGCAATCTTGGGGTGTCGAGAAGTGCCTTGGTCCGTCTTGGTCTGCCTCAGCCGCCTTCTGGAGGCTGTCTTCGCCGATCTGGAGCCTGTGGAGCAGAATCTGGCCGTCTGGGGTCATCAAGACCCCCAGCGAAGGCTAGTGACCTTGCCACTCGTTCCACCCTCGCACGCGCTGACTCCCACATCGTTACACAAACTACGCTGGGTTCCAACTTCGCCTGCAACATCTCGCTGAGCATAGTGAGAGCCCGCTGCCACTGATCGCTCTTCTCGCACGCGCTTGCCACAGCGTTGTAGGTGAGTAGGGCTGGCCCGTGGATTCGTTGACAAAGCTGCTCGCGTACGAGGCCGAGGATCACTGAGCCTTTCGCTTGATTGGGTGATGTGAAACCTGCTTGACTGCTACCCTTCCGAATCTGAGTACGTTCGTCCCTACTTGCCTGCTCGACTGCTGGCCTGCTTGCCCGGGTTCCGATTGCTGGCTCGTGTTCTGGTTGGTGTCTGCTGCTGCTCGGGGCTGCTTCGTGTTTTTCCTGTTGCTTGCTTTTTTTCGGCTGTTGCAGCCTGATGTATGCTTGGTGGTGATACTGTGTGTTCCGACTTGTTGTAGCTGTTGTGTGACTCTGGTGCTTACAGCTAGTGCAGATGCGTGCTTCTTCTGATTACTACTGGTTCCTGCTGCCCACTGCTGACTACTACTGCTGCTCTTTCTCTGCTGCTGCATGCCACTGATTGCTAGCTACGCCTGCTGATGCTGTATTGTGCCGATGATGCCGCCCGCTGCATCTTGCTGCAGAATGAAGGGATCGGGCAAGAAGCAAACTGCGAGGAGCGAGCAACGACGATAGAGGAGGGAAGATTGAAGAACAAGGAGGTAGAAACAGGCAGGGAGAAGCGACTGCCCAAGAGGCGCGCCGCATCGCCGATGCATCGGCGATGCACTGGTGACAACGGCTATGCTTCGGCGACGTCGGTGTGGAGAAAATCAGGCTCCGCGTCGAGCCGCATCGCTGATGCATCGGCAGTGCGGCACGATCATCCGACCCGACCGCGTCCGACCCCATCTGGGATGCCTCGAGTGCTCGTTCTCAGGGAGCCGGACACGGGTGCGACGCACCGGTCTCAATCGACCAGAGCGGCGGGACCCTGTTGCAGCGCAGTCAACTGGTACGCTGGTTGCGCCGCAGGAAGCGGGCCCCGCAAGGAGGGCCCCCGAAGAAGGATTACCAGAGGCCCCTCTCTAGCCACTGCTTGGGCGCAACTCGGACGAGAACTCCAAATCCGGCGCAGACCAGAGGCCAGCAGTTTTGCGGATCTCTGCCTTTGATGAGACGCAGCGGCCGTCGCGGAGCATGCAGAAGGCGAGCGTATCTACGTCGGCTGGTGGCGCGCGTTTTAGTCTCACCTTGGCTTGGCGCTGCTTGCAAAGCCGTGTGTGCCAGAGGCTCCAGCACAGCCGTTTCCTGCGGGCCTTCCTGGCACTCTCCGCTCCTTCGTCAGGTGGCGGTACGTCTGCGACGCCCTGGCGGGCGCAGAGAGCGCGCTGAGCCTGCGCAGCGCGGCCGCTCGCAAGCGCGCTGTAGGAGGGCAGTCTGCGGGCTGCGTGCGCATCTCGAGCCAGAGGATACCAGCACCAGGATGCCAAACAGACAGCCCGCAGAGTTGGCCTTGGCCGAGGGCGCAGTAGCTGCGGGAACGAGCCTCAGCAGCTCTCCTGGATCACCCACTCCAGCATCAATCGCGCGTGGGCTTGCCCAGTGCTCTGCAGCTGCGTCCTGGGCGAGATTCACGCCACCTGCTATGATGCCTGCCGCTTCGAATCGGTGGCCGCCGCACCCACGCACTGCGGGAGCCGCAAAGCAGGCGCGGCGGACAGCAGCATGAGCCTGGCGCGCATGGACGTCGAAGCTCTCTAAAGTACCGCAGCAGTGGTGCCAAAAGCGCCGCACAGCCAACACTGTGGCCCCGACGACTCCCTCCCCCCTCCTCCTCCTCTCCTGGGATAGATCAGAATGAAGTCTCACCACATGCATGCACGCGTGAAGCCTCCTCCTCGGACGTATCCAAAGAGGGCTTCGTAGGTCATCCCGCCTCAACCTCAGCCAACTGTAAGAGCTGAGATCGAGCAGCACGAGCGTGCATCTATGGGTATATATACATATATATATATATATATTACCATTGCCAATTACAAACAAATGTCGTCTGATCGAATTGTAAAGATAAAGCCCAACACAATCCTTTGGACAGCTAGAAATCTCTGAGGGTCCGTCAGTTTCCGAACTAACCCCAGACGACGTCCAAGATGGGACTCAATCGGGATCTGCGGGGACCAGATTTCCATGACCGCGCCCCAAAGAAGAGGGCACGGCATGTAGTGCCGCTGGGCATCTTCCCCACTGGCACAACCGAATTTGCAGGCACACCGCTTCTGGGACATGCGACCTTTCCGTGGTCCAGCCCCCTACTAGTATCTTGACCACACAGCTTTGCCGCGCTGGAGGCAGCTGCGAGATGCACTCCTTGAGCACAGGCCACGACAAGCCAGCAACTGCACTAGCCGTCAGCGGTCGGAGCGTCCACTTGGCCAGTCTCTTGAGGAGAGTGGGAGCGAGGTTCTCCTTAAACAAGGACGCAACAAGGGAACTGGCCAGAGCCTTCTGGATTTTGACAGCAGGATCTCCCCTGTGCGCCTCACCAGAAGCTTTCTGGGCAGCAGCGACAGGCCCCCGAAGCCGAGCACATTCAGGGGAACCCGCATCCGCACAAACCAGCTCCTGGACAAAAGGGCGCGCCGTCCAATGTGGCGGCGACCAGACATCCCTGCGCCATTGCTTCATTGGAAGGAGACGCCTCGCCTCAGCTCGAAGCCTGCTCCACAGGGGGCGCCAGTTAGATACTGTATGTCTTGCAGCACGGATCAGGGCACGCGTAGCCTGAACTCGAATTGACTGCGGGCGCAGCTTCGTCCACACCCTCAGGGCTAAAAGCTGATCTAACGGAAACCAAAAGGGGGGAAGGTGCAAGATCTTGTGGAGCGCCCAGGATTCCCATCTCAGGATCGATTCGGGAATCAGCGTCGGCTGGGCAAGATATCCAAATTTTGAGACGGCCCTCGAATTATAGAGCTGCAGCGCTATCGATGGCGGAGCAGACTCCTTGGCTAGACTCTGAACCACTCCCACCCACTCCCGAAGCGCCCTCGCCCACGCCCAGTCCTTAGAGCCAGCAGCAGGCCCTGTCCAAACGCCGACGTACTCTGCTGCTTCAACAACTGGGATGTTGCGCCATCTCGGAGCAGCAGTGGCAACCTGCTCTGAGACCCTTCTTGCAAGGTCCCCAGACAAATATATATATATAAAGAAAAAAAAGACACAGGCGCGATCCGACACATAGGGATTTTCAGAAACAGAGTCGCCAGAAACTGCGCAGCATAAAACGTGCCTGAGAGACGTGCGAAAGCCGAAAGTTCAGAAACCAAGACCCCCCCCCCCACGTCATCCGCACGCACCGCAACCTCGGACCCAGGGTGCCGCCTCAGCCGCTTTCGCATGTCTCCCAGGAAGGGGTCCATTGCCAGGGCCCAGAGGGATCCTGAAGCAGGGTCACCCTGCATGACCCCCGACGATATGGCCCCGAACTTGAAAAGCATTCCGGGAATCTGCGCGCCGGCAGTCGCGCGGAAGTACGTGGCTTGCGCGAGGCACTGGAAGCCCAGTGGGTAGCGAGCTTTGCTGAGGACCGCCCAGAGGAAGGAGTGAGCGAGAGAGGGAAAGGCGTTGCCAAAGCCGAGGAAGCGCAAGGAGGGGGGCCTCGCCTCGTCCTGGGGATGCATCGAAGCAACCCTGGCCGCAGTGTCGGGGAGGGTGATCTTATTCAAAAAACTCCTCCCCTGAAGGAATCCCCTTTGGTCCGAGTGAGCTTGCGCAGCGGTCGTCGCCTTCGCCTGCTGATTACATGCCGACGCCAGAACTTTCGCAACCGCATGCTTTAAAGCCAAAGGTCGAGAATTAGGTGGCCCCCGCGTCACAAAAGACTCGTCCTGCTGACGATGTCCCTCGGCAGCGAAAACCAGCAACATGTCGTTTAAAGATGGCGGCGGGGGAACACCAGAGAGAAGCTCTAACATGAGGTCGTGTAAAATGTGTTTGGGCAGCTTGCGTTGATGCCGCGCAGCATGCGGAAGTCCATCTGGCCCAGGGGTCGCCGGCTTAGCTTTTCGAAGGGCCAGGGCAAAAGTGTTCAACGTCGGCGGCGCAATGGCCGAGAACTCAAAATCCGCAAGAAGCTTGGCTATATACTTATATGCATGCTGCTGCGAAGTCCTGCGTGGAGCAAAACCTGGGGCCCAGTGGTTCCGAAGGGAAGTGATCATCGAACCAGGGGGGGGAACCGTGGAAGCGTGAAGGGCAAGGAGACCCTGGAGCGAGGGCGATTTTCCCTTCGGAGCCCATATTTTTCCCCTTCGCATCTCAGCTCGCATGAAAGCGCGGATGCGTTTCTGCTCCATGCGGGGGGGGGGGGGGTCCTGGATGGCCGCCTCAGCCCTAGACATTCTTTCATCCAGAACCTCCTGCTGCAAGCTTTTATACTGCCTACGAAAATTCATCGGCCAGGTCAGGGAGACAGTTTGATTTCTGGAAATCTGTAGAACTCCGAGGCCCGGGCCCCCGAAGCCAGAAGCGACCTGGCCAAGCGGACATCGTTAGAATGCACCGCCCTAGAGATCGATCTGAAAATGGCTAACTTGGCCTCCGGGGGAGGGGATCGAGAGGAGACAAGTTTGTTCCTAGTCAGCCTGACAGCTTCCCTCAGAAAACGTCGGTATTCTGCCCATCTAGTCCCAGGGGCGCGCTCTGGCGCTTGCGGCCCCAGGGCGCTCGAGCATTGAATCAGAAGGTCGAGGTATGATTTGAACTCAGGAACCCGGCAAGGAAATCTTGGCACGACCTGGCCCATGGGGCCCCGTTGGTGCCTGGAGGCGAGAGTGACCTGCGCGGGCGCGTGGTCCGAGATCCCCATGTCACGCATCTTCTCGGGATGATAGGGAACCGTCGCACAGATAGACCACTGCAATATAATCCATCCATGGGGTACTTAGCATGATGCGATCCAATTGTGTCAACCTATGGTCCGACGGGATGAAGTGAGTCGGGGCCTCGGGGTCAAGCTCTGTAAGGCCCGCCAGGGCAGCGGCCCATATGCCACCAAATTCTCGCTGTCTTGGTTGAAGGACCAATCCTTTGTCGATCTCAGGAGCATGAAGATGCATCGGGGCCGCCTCTTGATAATTCACGTCGCCCATTAGCAGCACAGTGGCGCGGTATGGGGGGGCCGCCGCAACCTCCGCCTCCGCCCGAATACGCGAAGAAATAGTACCCACTTCATTCCGATATAAACTCTAAGTGTGCACATTGCATATGATCAGCATTGTGTCGGCACGCAATTCATTAGCACGGGCCTTAATGGATAACCTCTGTACACGTCCAGGTATAAGTGCCTCATCGCGAACCCTTCCAGTTCGGATTCCTTCATCAGCCTGTTCTTGAGAGGGGTGAGGGAGGATTAAACAACTCCACCAGAATCACGCGAAGGGATCATAGCAGTCATGAGGCATCTCCTCTTCTGCGCCATGAACCTCCTGTAGGGCCACCACCGCTTGATCACGCACCGGATTCGATAGCATGTTCATATTGCGCGTCCGCGTAGCAGGTTTGCGATGCAGCAGCGCCCGAGCATTCCAAGTTGGAAATTGCATCGGAAAACTCAGCTGCTGTGAAAAGTCCTCCTTCCAAGTAACGACTGTTGAGCTAAATGCGCCACTGCGCTGTCTCATCTGAATGGAAACGAGTATTGAACGCCGCCATAATTGCCGCCTTGTCCACTCCATGTTTCTCGGCACAAGCATAGTTCCATAGGAAGTCTCGTCGGAGCGTCGCGATCAGCACCTGCTTGGACCGATAGGCAAGGGGAGCCATCGAGAAATACCACACCTTTGTGCGTGTCATGTCGATGCCGCAAATGTGGATGCGCATCCCGCGCCACGCATGCTTAGGAGCTTTGTCACAGCCAATGAATACCCGCGACACACCTTGCCCAATCGTGGTGGCCTGGAAGGTTCTCCACGTGCCATCCGTCTGCTTGAGCGCTTTACGTGCTTTGGCAGCACGCCGAGTGGCGGCATTGATGTCTCCCGAGAACTGCAATACAAACCTCCGAGCAAGCGACGGGCCCACCACCGACCATTGGCCCTCGTCACTATGCGTTTCGTCGAGCCAGGGCTTGATGGTCGCCTCGAAGGCGTCACTGGACACGTCGGCCTCCATGTTTGCCACGAGGATAGTCGTATCCGCCGCCCTGTCCCACTCCGTGAGAGCCTCCAGGTCTTTGATCGGAACAGATTTGCTCAGCCAGGAACAGTGCCTTGCGCATCTCGTCCAGCCCTTGCCGAAACTGTGGCTGCGTGGCTGCAGTTGCTTCTTGCCGTGCCCGAAGATCCGCCAGCGTTCCTCGGACTTGTGTGTTGATCCTTTCCTGGCTGGCGGACATCGCTGTGACCATGTGGGTAGTATGAGACGACACCTCGGCCACAATCCCATGCTTGATCGAGGTTAACTTTGAGTCCAAAGTGGCCTGCATCTCGCGCTTGAGGGAGGCCAGCAAGGAATCAATATCCTGTGGAGGGTCAGCTCGGCCATCGCCATTGCGTTCAACATCTGCTGCTGCTGTTCCTGCTGGTGTTCCAGGCGTAGTTCTTCCAGCACCTTGGGACTCCATGGGCTGCGTGGCGTCGGGGGCCCTAGGCTGTCTAGCGCTAGCCGTTCCCTTGCCTGACGACCTGCCCCACGGGTCTCCCTCACCAGCCAGAGGATCGCCCCCAGCAGCACGACGGTTCACGCCAGCGCCAGCACGCCCATCCTGGGAGCTCCCTGCGGGCGCCAGCTCCCTGGCGGGCGAGCGAGAGGCGGATCGCTGCGCCCCGCGGCCATCGGCTGGCATCCGAAGCTCGGTCGCCGCGGGCGCCCGAGCTGATAAGAAGTTGGGCCGAAAGGCCGTGGAAATGAAAGCGTTGGGTGCTACCGCCTGGGCAGGCAAGCAGCAAGGCAGTGGGCAGAAAAAGTCGCTCGATCAGGGCGACGGACACCACCCACAGCTAATCATGATCCGCTATATCATTTTAGCTTCACACGTTTAGCCTTGAGCCAAAATGGCTACGGGACGTGAGACTTCCTCCTCCTCCTCCGCATTCTCCTCCTCCTCCTCCTCCTCCTCCCCCTCCTGCTCCTCCTCCTCCTCCTCCTCCTCCTCCTCCTCCTCCTCCCTTCCTCCTCCCTTCCTCCTCTTCCAACGCGTTCAGCTGCTTGCTGGTAATGATTTACTGAGGCTCATCTCGTCTGCCTGCGGGCCCGCCGTGGCACGCGGGAGGGAGGTCCTTCGGCTGTGACGGCCTGAACCCTGGAACTGGACGTGGCACGAGCTCCTGCGAGTATTGCACTCGATGACTTCGGGCACCATCTTCGCCTCCGACATCTTCTTCTGGAGCGACAGGGCTCGTTGCCACTGCCCACCATTCGAACACGCGCTGATCCCAGCCTGACAGCTAACGTCGTCGAGCTCAAACTTCGCCTCCCACATCTCACTGAGCAGAGACAGGGCCCGCTCCCATTGCTCGCCCTTACCGCACGATCTGATCCCTGCGCTGTACGACATGACGACGGGCTCCACTCTCGCATCCCGCATCTCGCTCAGCAGCGCCAGAGCTCGTTGCCACTGCTTGCCCTTCTCGCACGCACTGAGCCCAGCGCAGTAGCTGACTAGTGTGTACCCATGGATCCAATCCACGTTGTGCTGAAACTGGGGCCTCGCACACTGTGGATTCAATCCACGGAGCAGCTTGTCGAAGTTCGAACAGCTCGTCGAAGCTCTGGACTCCAGGAAGTGTGCAAAGAGGGTCCCAAACTCAACCAAAATTCAACAGAGCAGCGTGTCACAACAGAAAACGGCTTAAGACAAATTTCTGGTATAATTATGCGTTACTCTCTTGGCGTGGGCACCTCTCTAGGTTCCCTGGCTGTCTTGGAGCCTTCTTCGATCCCCGTGCGTGCTCCCTGCGCACCTTTCCAGAGCTCCTCTGGTGCTCCGAGATGCGTCCAGGAGAGTCCCCAAATATAACCGTTTTCCACAAGAGCAGCACAGCCATCTATGAAGCGGATTGTGATACATCTCTATGAATACTCAAACCTTCTGGGAACACTCTTGGGTACCTCTGGAAGTTCCCTGCGAGCCTCTCTGGTGCCCGAGGACGCGCCCAAGAGGTCCCAAACATTATTAGAAATTTAACAAGACAGTATTTCCAATCCAGTCGCAGATTCCAGTGAGTTGCGAATGACTCTGATCCCCTCTTGGAGCCCTCTTCGGGGCTTCCTGTTGGGACGTTGTGGGGCCATGATGGGGGTCTAGGGTAGTCTTGGAGCCCGCTTTGGGCTCTCGTTGACAACTCTTTGGGGCCTGTTTGGGCTGTCTTAACAGACACTTAAGACTCCCTTTGGCCGTCTTGAGGCTCTCTTGGGCCGTCTTGGAGCGCTCTTTGGCCGGCTTTGGGACTCTCTTCGAAGGCATGTTTGGCAACGTGGGGGCGATCTAGCAGGGCTCTGGAGCCGCCTGGGGCTGTTCTGGGCCCGGCATGGGGAGGACCTGAAAATCGCTCGAAACCAAAAAGTAAATCTGCGATACTTCACTCCTCGGGCAACCATCGGGGTCCGCTTGGGCACATTCGGGAATTTCCTGGCTTGTTTTGGGTGCCATCTTGGGCTGTTTTTGGGCTCGCTTGGAGCCGCCCAGGGCCGAGCTGCGCCGGCGCACTCTCGCACATGCTCATCTCAATATTGTAATATAGATGACGTTGGGGCACACCTTCGCCTCCCGCATCTCGCTGAGCAGCGTCAGGGCCCGCTCCCACTGCTCGCCTTTCTCGCACGCGCTGATCCCAGCGCTGTAGCTGACTAGGGCTGACCCGCGGCCTCCGGCCGCGGAATTTGCCCGCCCTGGCGTGGACGTGAAGAGGAGCGTCTCTGGGGCCTCGCGCGTGGATGGAGGAGGTGGTCGCTGGAGGGGAAGGTGGGCGAGGGATGCAGGCAAGCAGGCCTGAAGGCAAGAACGCGGTGGTGGAGGCGGTGTCGGTGGAAGCACACCCATGTAGGCATGACATGGTGTGGACAGAAGCTGTTTCTGACGCCGCAGTCTGTGTTCACCGTAGCTATCGCGGGGAAGGTAGCCGTGAGAAGTTTATCTGCTCTTCGCCGGGGCCGAATGATGATTGCATCTGGCAGTGTGGTGACAATGGGGCCAGTGGGCGCGGCCTAGGAGGCCCGCAAGAGGGCGGCGAGACGGAACTCCCTAAGAAGGGCCCCAGTGCGAGGACACGAATCGACTTTTCGAGCGCACCTCCCCAAGACGTCCCCAAATAGCGCAGAGATGGCTCCCAGAGGGTCCAAGAAGCCTCCAAAACGATGCTGGAAGTTCGACGCTCCCCAACATAGAAGCATCCAAGGCCTCTCGGGGGCCGCGTGGGGGCCTCTTTTCGTCCTCCTGGGGGTGGGTCTCTCGGAGCCCTCTTTGGCAGTCTTGAATGCATCTTGGGCCGTCTTGGGGCGATGTGGGGCCGTCTTGGCCGCCTCTCGGACCATCTTGGGACAATCTTGGGGCTATCTTGGGCCAATATTGGTCGCTACTGGGGCTGTCTTTGGTGTTTCTTGAACCGTCTCGGGCGCCTCTGGAGCTGTCCTGGACGGCCCAGAGACCGTCTTGGAGACTGTTTATATGGAAAGGCTTGGAGACGGGGCGGCGGGGGCCTCTACAGCCGTCTTGGAGACAGGGCGGTGGAGCCGTCTTGGGCCATTATTAACTGCTCTTGGGGCTGCCTTGGGTGCGTCTTGGGCTGTCTCGGGCGCCTCTGGAGCCGTCCCGGGGCAGTGTGTGGCCCTTTGGGCGCCCTCATGGGGGCGTCTGGGCGCGTCTTGGGGCGAGCTGGGGGGGCTGTATAGCCTTCTGGACGCTGCGAGGACGAAAATAGCAAGATATATAGATTGAGCATGTGCGTTTCCCGTCGGGAATGGGACGATTTGGGCCTCATGGGGCTCTCCTGGAGGCCCTCCTGGGCCGTCTTCGGAGCCTCCTGGCCTGCCTTCGGGGCCTCTGGGGCTGCGCCGTCTTGGCGCCCCCTGGAGCCTCTCGGAGCCGTCCCGTTGGCCATTCTTGGCCGCTCTTGGGGCTGTCTTGGATGCGTCCTGGGCCGTCGGGGCCGTGTGGGGCCCTTTGGGGGCGTCTTGGGGCGAGGTGGAGGGCCTCTATAGCGGTTTGGGGGCCCTCCTGGGGTGCTCTGGAGGCGTCTTGGGGCGATAGGGAAGGCCTGTATAGCCGTCTTGGACGCGGTGAAGACGAAAAGAGCGAGCACATCAAAAATGCACGTTTTCCAAAGCGAATGGAGCAACTGTTGCCTCTTGGGTCCCTCCTGGGGGTCGCTCCCTGGGCCGTCTGGGCACGCGCTTGGAGGCCTGTTGGGCAGTCCTGGGGCGGTCTTGTGGGTGTCTTCGGCCGTCTTGGAGCGTCGGCTAGCCGAGAAGGCGAGAAGTCCTGGAGCGGTTTTGTGGGTGTCTTCGGCCGTCTTGGAGCGTCGGCTAGCCGAGAAGGCGAGGAGGCAAGACTCCTTCAAAAGCCATTGACAAACTAAGGATTTTGGCCTCTGGGGGCATGCTTCGGAGTACTGTTGGATGCTCTTGGAGGCCTCTTGGGGGGGTCTTGGGGCATTGTGTGGGCGCATGGGTGCCCAGGACTCAGAGTGTCAGGGTTTTTCCCCGTTCTTTGGCCCCCTCTTGGGCCTGGCTTGGGGTCCTCTGGGGCCGGCTTGGGCGCCTCTTGGGCCATCTTGGGGCTCCCTGGGCCGTCTGGGGACGCGCTTGGAGGCCTGGTGGGCCGTCCTGGGGCGGTCTTGTGGGTCTCTTCGGCCATTTTGGAGCGTCGGCTAGCCCAGAAGGCGAGGAGGCAACATTGTTCAAACACCAATGCAAACTCCGGATGTTGGCCTCCGGGGGTCATGAAACTCTCATGATGATGCTGATGATGATGATTGTGATGATGATGATGATGATGCTGCTGCTGCTGCTGCTGATGATGATGATGATGATGAGAATGATGATGAGAATGATGATGAGAATGATGATGAGCATGATGATGATGATGATGATGATACTGATGATGATGATGATGATGATGATGATGATGATGATGCTGATGATGATGATTATGATGATGATGCTGATGCTGATGATGATGATGATGATCATCATCATCATGATCATGATGATGATCATGATGATGATCTCTATATTTATATTTATATTTTTATATATATATATATATATATATAGAGACGTGTATGTAGATGTACATACATATAAGCACTTCAAGGCCATAGGGAGCCTTCCTGAGGAAGTCCTCGAGACATTAAGCATCTTGGAACTGGGAAGCTGATATGCGGGGCCGTCTTTGCACGACTTCGGGCCTCTCTCGGGTCCGCTCTTGGGCCTCGTAGGGCCCCTTTGGGGCTCCCTGGCATCCCTAGGCGGTCTTGGGTCTTTGGCCACTCCGCAGGCCTCTTGTGAACCACTCGTAGGGCGCTTGGTGGCGTCGATTGGATTGGGTATTCTCGACCCCTCTCGTGGGACTCATGGGACGTCGAGGCCCAGGTGGGCCCTTGAGAGCCAGCGGAGGCTGGTCGGGGTCGAAGTTTCGCAATATGGCAGTGCCCGCTTTTTTGGCACGCGGTGGCACCGGCATGCTAGGATACATGAGGTTAGGCTCCAACTTCGCCATCCTCATCTCGCCGAGCAGCCCCAGGCCCTGCTGCCACTGCTTGCCTTTCTCGCACGCGCTGATCCCAGCGTTGTAGGAGAGACTAGGGCTGACCCGTGGCCTCCAGCCACGACCAGCGCACGGGCGGCTGCTCGACGGCCCTCCGGCAGACACGCGGCCACACTTCGTGCGACTCATACCTCTGGCTCCCCCCTACGCATCTCCCATGCCCACTCGCGCTTCGCCGCCGTACGGTCGCCACAAACAAGTGGCTTCCATTGCGTGTGACTCATGGATACAGAGCTCCCGCATGTGGCTTTTCCTTCTCCCCTCCCACTTGCAGCACAAAAGTGGCCGCACTTCGTTGAGACACGCGCTCTGCCAGCTCTGTCGGGCATGCGATCTGCTTCGCGTCTCTCGTCTGCCCCCTCTCTTAGAGGCAACTTGGAGCCACTTGCGGCCTCCTGGGGGCCGTTTGGGGGACTCTTAGAGCTTTTTCCGCTTCCTGGGAGCCTCTTGGGGCCCTCTTGGACCGTTTTGCGTGCCTTTTGGGCCGTTCTGGGGCCGTCTTGGGCCGTCTTGGGCTGTCTTGGGCGCCTCTTGTGCCGTCTTGGGGCCGTCTTGGGCCGTCTTGGGCGGCTCTTGGGGCTGTCTTGGGTGCCTCTTGGGTCGTGTTGGGCGCCTTTTGGACCGTCCTGGGGCCGTCTTGGATCGTCGTTGGGCCCTCACGGGGACATCTTGGGGCGGTCTTGGGGACCAGTCTGGCCGTCGTGGACGCGTCGGAGACGACATGCACAATAATTATGCCCCAAATTATGTTGTCCAAAAGGAATGTGGCGATGTTTGCCTTTTGGGGCCCTCCTGGGGAGTCCTCCTCCAGGGCTGTCTTGGGAGCCTCCTGGCCTGCCGGAGCGGCCTGTTGAGCGGCTCTGAACCGTCTCGGTGCCGTCAGGGGCCCTCGAACCTCCGTGGAGAGGCCCTCTGAGGCCGTCGTGGAGCACCTTGGGGCCGCCCGGGAGCGCGTGGGGCCCCGCCGAAGGGCTCGACTGATATTTGGTTTTTTCTCCTTCTGGCGCGCGCTTCTGCCGGCTGTGTTGGAGAGACTAGTGTGAAACCGTGAATCGTGAATCAAATCCACGGTTTGCTGTCCTTGGGACTTGCAAGCCGAAGGTTTAATCCACAGAACAGGTTGTCGAAGACGAGCAGATCGAGGAGCTCGTGGAGAGGATATGGGGAGAACAGGAGTGCAGGTGGAGGACCTCGGAGGGCCTGAGCGCGCCGAGGGAATACATACGGTGAGCTCCTGTCGTGACGAACTGCGGTGTTGCACCTGGCACCGCGTGGAACGCTCAACCCTCTACGATCGGCAGCTTTGAAACAAAACGGCCTGGACCATTGTCGGCGGTGAGCCCTTGATGCCGGCGCTGAGATCTCCGCCGAGCTGACGCGACGCTCATCTGTGCACCCCTCCCCACTGCTCGGTGAAGACGGCCGAAAACCTCGATACCAGGTGGCGCGAGTCGGGGCAGGCAGCGGAGAGAAAGAACGGCACGAGGAGGAGGAGGGAGAAGTGCTGCCTCTGGTTGCGTGCGTGTCTTGCAGTGAGGCGAGGAGGCCGCCACGGCAGAACGCTGGTCCGCCGGGGGTGGATGGCGCCGTTCCTGAGCCACGTCCCGTCGGGCTGTGAGCACGGCTCCCCGCTCCTCCACTATGACCGGGCACCAGTACTCCGCCATGACGTTCCTGCTGGGGGGTGCGCTCCACACGTGGCTATGCATCAGCTCCCCGACATTCGGGGCCTCCTGGGGGGCTCTAGGGCATCAGGGGCCCTTCTTGGAATATGTTCGGTGTCTCTGGGGCCGCGGGAGGGACATATTGGGTCCTTCTCCGAAGCTGTCTGTGGCCACTGAAAGTCTCTCGCATAATTTTGGGCGCCTCTGGGGCCGTTCCCGGGTTTTCCCCCAAACCCCTTTGTGGAGGACAGCCCGGGAAGCTTATATTGGAACTCGCCTTGGAGCCTTCCTGGAGCTTTCTCGGGGCTCTCAACGGCTCTGCGGGGACTCTCTTGGGGCAGTCTTGCGGGGCACATGGGGCTGTTTGGGGCCGTCTTCGGGCGCTCTGAAGCCATCTTGGAGCTCATTTGGGCATGGGAGCCTGATGGGCAATGGGGCGATCTACGATGTGCTGGGAGAAGTCTGGGGCCAATCTTTGGGCGAAAAGGAGAATCCTCCGAGAACTGTGGGAAATCTACGATGTTGGCCTCGTGGGAGCGTCATCGGGCTCCTCCTGGGCCGTCTTGGGCGGCCTCCTGGCTTGTTTGGGGGCCGTGTTGGGCTATTCAAAGGTTCGCTTCGGGTTCTCTAAGGCGACCTGGGCGCTCTGTCGAGCGCGCCTGAGTTGGCGTTGGCCGTCCAGGGCCGTCCAGGACCGCCCCGGGAGCGCCAGGGCGCCCCGGGAACGAAGGGAGCCGCCCCGGGCTGAGCTGCGACAGCGCAGTCTCGCGCGCACTGGCGCGAGCACCGCAGCACAGATAGCGTGCACCCGTGGAGCACGATCACGAACTGTTGCTTAGCCTGTCGCGGCAGCGACCCCCGCGCAGACCCTTCAACCTGACACGATCGTCGGTCGATCGCCAGATCGTTCCAGCTGGGTCGATCCTAGGCGCCCGCGCTGGGGTCGCAGCCGCGTCGACATGTTCCTCGTCCTCGCCGCTTCCGTCTGGTGCGGGCCCGATGCGTGCTGCTGCCTGATGCGGCTTAAAACTGCCGCGTGCTGCTCCTTGGTGATGGTCGATGCTGCGTGCCTGCTATTGCGTGCGGCTGCTTGCTGCCACTGTTTAGCGTTTGGTTGCTCATGGCTGTCGCTAGTGAATGCCGTTGCTGCTTGTGGTTGTGCAGTGCTATTGCTGCCCAGGGAAGACGGCTGCGTGCGTGCTTCTGAGTGTTGCTGAATGATGCGTACTGTTGTTGGTTGACGCTTCTGCTGGGTGCTGCCTCTGCTGATGATTGCGTCATGCTGCTGTTTGCTGTCGCTGCTTTACCGTGCTTCCTGGTACTCCCGGCTGCTGATGCAGACTGCTGCTCGCGAGGGGGTCGAGGTGATCGGAGCGAGGAGTCAACATCGAGGAGGGAGGGGGCAGGACTGAGATGACCGGCGAGGAGAGAAGAGCAGGGAGCGAGAAGGGAGGAGCGAGGGCTGAGGAGAGAGGGGCGACGAGGGAGAGCCAAGGAGGGATCAATGGGGGAAGAAAATGCGATGGGCCAAGACGGCTGGAGCACGGGGGCAAGCAGAGAGGAACGAGGAGGAGTGAGACGAAAGGTGCAATGAGCGGCGAGGGAGGTGCCAGGAGCGAGGAGCAGTGGGCGAAGAGCGTGGGGCGAAGAGCAAGGAGCGAGAAGCGAGGTGGGGAGGTTTGAGGAGCGGCCACCACGCGAATCTCTCAATGGCCTCGACGCGCGTGTGGCCCAACGCTTGGTCTCCTCTTGGGTTGCTCATGGGGCCCTCGTGGGCACAATTCGGGGACTGTTTGGGGCCTTCTTTGGTCAGCAGATAAGGAATCGTCCAGGGTCTGACGCCTCCTAGGCACACGCATTAACCAACGCCCCCGCCGTAGTAAAAAAATGCCCCAAGCAAAACAACACGGGGTCCCTGCGCGAATCTACCTCGAACCCTCGGGGCCACCCTGTGGCGCTGTCCTGGGCCGTCTCGACAACTGCTGGGGGGCCTCTGGAGATACGTATGCGGAGGCCCCAGGGGCTCGCATAGACCGCGCCCGACAGTCCGCACGTTCCTGGGCGGGGGCGCGGCATGCAGGGCAATTGAGTGGGCGATTGGAGGGTCGATGGGCTCCCCTCCGGGACCAATCTCCCCCTGTCCTTGTCTCGGGTCCCACGGCCCCAGAGAGGCCCAGGGGGAGGCACCAGAAGGCTCCTTCGGTGACAGCTCATGGGAGCCTCCCGTGACATCTTGCCGGCTCTTGCGAATCCGCGCTAATCGACGCCTCGACGCCAGCCGACGCTAAATCTACGCTGGTCGACGCTAGCCGACACAAAACCGGCGCTATCTCATCGACTACCCCAACGCGAATCGACGACAGCGCACTCTAAAAACGAAGTTGCGAGGGCGCATTCGGCTCTCATGCTCTTCCAGGGGCTCCAGCGGCCTTCGGGGGGCTCGAAACATGCCGTGCGGTGCACAGGCTCCGTTGGGCACGCGCGGGCGCCTGCATTGCAGCCGAAATCGGTGTGCAACCCGTGGGCGGAATGCGCCAGCGACGGCTGCTGTTGTGGATTCGTGGTGCTGCTGGTTGCTGGATCTGTTTGCAGATTCTGGTCGCCGTTGCTTTTATGGTCTGGCGGATTACGATCCTAGCTGGTGCTGGCTGTGCTGCGGGGTTGCTTGCTTGCGTGCTTGCTGCGTTCGCTGCCTGGTCCAGTCTTCCTTGCGGGGAAGCGATCGGGACCGTTCAAAAATTCTTCGACGTGGGGATCCCAATATGTTCATCTCATGTCCTGGCGCGTAACGGTGTCAGCGTCTGGCCGTGAGCGTCTAGGTGTGAGATCGGGTCCGGGTAGACGACGAGTACACCGGCGACGAAGGCGGTGGTTACGACGAGGGACAGCGGCGACGACAATTAACAAACACAGAAGACATGCGGTGAGCACGACCCCTCCCCATTCTTCCTATCACTACTCGTCGCACCCCCTCCCTTCACGTCTTCTCTCATCCCCTCTCACTCATCCTGCGTTTTTATCCTTCCTCCTCCGTCATCCCTACTCCATCCTGGCGGCCGTCGCTCTCCCTACACTGAAATGATCATTGGCCTCCGAAACAAAGCTCCTCGAACACAGAACGCCTTGCTCGACACATCCCCAGGATCCAGCCGTCTGGAATGCTGAAACCAGCGGCTCGCTCGAGTTATCCTCACAATCTGTGCAGAAAACAGAAAACCGAACCCACAAGAGGCGCAAACCGCTTGAGTCATCCCCGCCATCTGGGCGCGAACGGGCCCTTCAAATACCCCCTGG